CTTCTGAAGGGAGGATGATCGTTTGTGGTCATAATGCGAAAAAACTGTAGATAACTGTTATACTAACCACCAGTTCGGTTATAGAGGGTTGAACGCCCGTCAAAAATGCCAGCGGTTACAGCACTGTCGCTGCTGCTGAAGCGAAAGATAAAAGTAATGTCTGATACTCCAAGACTATAGCCCCCATCATGGGCAGTACTCATGGCACCTTCATTTCATGAGGTTTGAAAAGGCTTCGCTAAGGTGGGTCATATTTTCCCAAGGCAGTATAACAGTTAACTGAGAACTATACCACAGAGTTCATGCTTCTTTACCACACAATAACATTTTGTCATATTGGAAGGACGAAAGAGATGATTCGGTAGGGATTTAAATTCATGGTCTTTCGTTGTGAATCGAACACCGCACTGGCTGATCTACTCCCAACACCTTGCAGACACGAAGAGCTTATTGACACTGTCACTACACTGAGGACGTGAACACGCAGCCGGCAGAACACAGGGTTGTAAAAATTGTAGAAGATGCTCCGTTATCAGCTACTCGGTGTTTCGATGGACGTCGCTCTCTATGCATTACCTATCGATTGGTTGTCAAACAATTAACTGTGAGCAAAAGGCGAAACTACGACGGCAAACTGCTTACCCTTGGATCGCACATTGAAGAACAGTGGGCGTATATCGCTCTTGCTCTATCGATCTCTCCCAACTTGCGTTCCAGTTCAGCAAACCGAAGACACATTTCACTAAAAAAACGTGGTCAAGGGATCATACAGAAACGCGACACAACAACACTTTATCATCTTACCGAGCATGATTGTCTGGCAAGACGGCTACGGCTTTTTCGTAAATAGGACGCGTCTGAGTGACGCCGTATATTTCAGCCGCCTTTTTGATGTATATGTTGAAAACCTAAAATGCATAAGCTAATATAATCAATTGCCGTAAATTATGATAAAGGGTCTGTCAACCAAAGGTAATCAATTAAAACTATGGCTACCACAACCTGAAAAGCATCACGTTTTTCAGTAAACAGAGTGGTCGAACAAACCCATGTAACATCAGAGTCAGAAGTAAATTTTGTAAACGTCAAAATAAACAAAGAACAACAGGTAGAGATACTGAGTTTATGTCCTTCATGCGTTATCGTCGTTAATTTCAACCAGATTCTAAGAGATACATGGCAGAGAAACTAGAAAAGATGATTTCTGCATGGACTGTAAAACTGAATGAAGAGACTGCCGTCCTACAAAACTTAACCTTACAAAATAAACATCAAGACGGTCATCAGACGCAAATTTAGGTTTGTTTACAGTCAGAACCAACACTTACACTATACATTTCGTCTTTCGTCACGGCCTCGGTGGCACGGTTATAGATGTTCATCGCATGCCGGCCCAAGCCATATTCCTCCTCGAGCTTAGCGTACAGTAGGTATATGTCTGAAAAGAAGGAATCAAAATATGAGCCGCTAACCACTATAAAAGAGATGAAGGTGAAAAAAGCAAACAGAAAAACCACAAAATCGTTCGTAAAAATCGTTGTGTTTAGGAAAATTAAACATTGCTAAAGTCCGACGGCAACTGAAACAACATGGAGAAACTGCTGCAAAATTTGATTGCTCTGGTTTGAAACTGCGCATCAAAAGCGACTACAGTAATACCCCAAAGTGACATCGTTGGTGGTTCCACAGTCAGCGACTTATATCGAGATAGAAAAGTTCACACAATTCCATGCAAAACGACATAATGGATTTGCCAGTCAGTTCGATCAATAAAAAAGCTACAACTGTGGGGGAATTGTAATGTCTTTGTTTCAAAAATACATTACAAAAATATAGACATTACGTAAAATAAAATGAAAATACAGCAGTTTTTAGTTAACGGAGATTGATCTGGTCTGGCGAAACAAAATTATTCTCTCTCCAGTGAAACGTTTTTGCAACAGGTGATCGCCTTCTTTATGCCTTGTCCAACAGTTGCTGCTAGGTCTTCATTCGAATCGATTTCTTCCAGAACCTTCAGACCGGCCTCAAACAGTTCAAGGCCGTCAGTTAACTTTTCATCTGTCATCGTGATGATCCGTGTCTGTTCAGCCTCTTCAGTTGATCGAAAAAATTTTCGTTATGAATTGCTGTATCATCTAATGTGAGCTTTTGGCTATGGAAATCCAACAGCTCCATAGTTATGAATATAGTTGTGAAGCACGAACGACCACTTCTTATGCTGTTTCAGCAACGGGTTCAATTTCAGGAACTGTGTTCAAGTTTTGACTAAATAAGAACGAAGAAAGGACTTAGCTTATTTTTGTGTACCGTTCATGGTTCTTTCACAAACTTCAGCCAACGAGTTTCTTATGATCCGCACCGCATCCAAAACACTAAGTCTTCTAGAAATCTTTCACAATCATCTCTGTTTTGTATCATAGCGGCATGCAAATAGGTGAAGGATCGTCAGGTATGGTAGACCATAAATGTTTTAATCACATCCTGGTCCACTGGTTGAATCAATGTTTAGAGGCAAACACAACCTTAACTCGAGGATCGAAGTTCATCAGAGTTGCTGGAGAATACGGTGGAGCACCGTCGAGCATCTGTCCTGATTAGCATCACTTTGAAACGTAGGTTATGAGAACGGCAATAGTGCTCGGCTTCAGGGAAGAAACTGTGGCCAAACTAAATTTCAAAGACAGAAGCAGTAAGCTACGCCTTAGCGTGAGATTTTCATTTCACTGGAAGGTCAGTTCTTCACTTATTTTTCAGAGCTCCAGGATTCTCGGACCGATAGTTAGAAGTGGCTTAAACCAGTAATCACTGGCAGCATTCCAACCAAGTATCGCAGTGAGCCGATCGTTTGCCTCAAAATTTAGCAAAATTTTTTCTTCGCAAGTTATAAACGATTTCAAGGCATCATTTTCTAGAAGAGCCCTGTTTTGTCATGGGGCAATACTGTCCATCCTATATCATCCTCAACTTTTCAGAGAAAGAAAGAGCAGCTTCCTTATCGGCATTCGCCGCTGCCCTAGTCCTAGGAATGCCGTGCCAATAACAGCGCTGTTTAAATTTGTTGAATCAGCCATTGCTGGCTAGAAAAACATCATCCTTCTCAGTATTTCCAGATTCTTCCCCCAGTCTTTGGAAAATCAGTTTGGCTGCGTTGCATACAGTATTTTGATCAACACGGCAACTCTTCAGTCTAATCTGGTTATCAAACAGCATTTTTAGTAAACCCTCCATTTTACAAACAAATCCATAACGTTAATGAATAACTGTTGAACTGAGTGATCAAAATTTTTTTACCTTTGCAAGATTCCCTTCTATGTCCTTGATTGTAGTTCTCACGGTGGTTTAAGTAAGGTTCTTTTCCATAGCTCCATTGTAAGCCACATTTTAATCCATCTTCATAAAGATTAATAATTTCCAATTTGATTTCTTAAGTCAGCGTTTTTCTTTTCTTGGCTGAAGCGCTGGTTAGTTAATTTTTGAAGACAAAATAGGATAAATTGGCAGCCGTTTTAAATTTATATCTGTGCAACGTTATGACGCAAACGCACTTCATACTCTACATGGATACAGTGCACATGCATTGATTACCTTTAGTCGTGGACGTAAGTGGGAGAGACTCAGAAATACTGGGGTACACTC